TCTATTTAGGTCCTATGCCATTTTTAATTGGAGTATTTTTGTTATTGTTGCTATTGAATTACAGGAGTTCTTTATATACTTTGGAATATTAACCTCTTATCATATATAATTTTAAATATTTTCCCCCATTCTATAGGCTGCCTTTTCATTTTGTTGATCATTTCTTTTGCTGTATGGAAAATTTTTACTTATTTTTAAATATTTTAGAGAAAGAGAGAGCATGAGCCCCAATGGGGGTTGGGGGGCAGGAGAGAGTCCTCAAGCAAACTCCCCACAGAGCATGAAGCAGATCCCAGGATCCTGAGATCATGGCCCAAGACAAAACCAAGAGCTGGTTGCTTAGCCAACTGAGCCGCCCAGGCACCACAGTGTGGAAACTTTAATTTGATATAGCCCCACTTGCTTATTTTTAAGATTTTTTTAAAATTTTTATTTATTTGACAGAGATCACAAGTAGGCAGAGAGGCAGGCAGAGAGAGAGATGGGGGGAAGCAGGCTCCCTGCCGAGCAGAGAGCCCGATGCGGGGCTCGATCCCAGGACCCCGGGATCATGACCTGAGCCGAAGGTAGAGGCTTAACCCACTGAGCCACCCAGGCGCCCCTCCACTTGCTTATTTTTTCATTTTGTTGCTTGGGCTTTTGCTACCATATCCAAAAAATCATTGCCAAAATCCATGTCCAGGAGCTTTTTTCCTGTTTTCTAGCAGTTTTACGGTTTCAGATCTTACATTTAAGTCTTTAATACATTTTGAGTTAGTTTGTGTGAGTGGTGTCCACAAATTTTTAATGTTTGTAATAAATTTTAACATACAAGTCATCCAAATTTATTAGAGCTTAAAGTGTAGTAGTCAAATTTCTAGCATTGATTAGTTTAAATGAGTAGCTCTCTTAAGACTTTAAAATTTATCCTTCTCATAGATCTAAACTCCTAAATGTGTAAAATGAAGCATTAATGTTAGCAAACATTTTTCAAAATACTGTTTGAGTAGACTCCAGAATAACCACTATGCTCAGAAATGGTCCCTTTCCAGGTTATTTCATGCTCTCTGTAAGATTTCTGGATTGGGTATGAGTTATGTCAAGTATGAGTTAATATTGATTGATTTTATTTCTTTTTCACAGACCAAGAGCACACTTCTAAAGTTGTCAATATTATGGGAAAAAACCAGATAAGAAAATTTTGGAGTAGGGGACTTCCTTACATTAACTCGAATTGATTTTGTTCTTCTGAATGATGATAAATACTGTCTTGGAGTAACATAATAAAATGGAAAGTCTGTAAATATTTCAGTTGAAAGTATCCTAAAGATAAACAATAATTCAATGGAAGATATAAAAGTAGATCTTAGAAATAGACTTTAGGTTCAAAGTTCTTCTATTTAATTACCTTAATTTTTCTAGTATAATTAGGTTCTGTCTTGACTATATAAATGGATTATGAAAGAGTTATAAAATTAACATTTGGGGACATTTGAAATATTTCCTTTTTGCTCACTTTGAAAAGATTTCCAGTTTGCTTCTAAATGAATATCATATCTGAAAGGCCAAGTGATTTTAGGCAGGTATGTCATTACTTTTCTCTATGGTTTGTTCAAGCAGGTAAAAAGTATGCAAGAATCTGAGTGTTCTTTGCAACAGTAGCTTCAATTTTCATCAGCCAAGACCCAATTTGTGTCAGAGGGTAAAACTTGCCTGATTAGATCTGTTCAAAAAAGCCATTAAGCAACTTTCAATGTTCTTGCTCTCTCACATTTAGGACACTAAACTTTTACAGAGACAGACTGTTTGAAGTCTTCCTAATTATTTCCATTATTATCCAAGAAGGATTACTAATGTTCAGCCTCCATTGGAATTCTCAAAGTTCTCAGTGCAAATTATATGACAATCTAAAATGCCTTTCTCTGGCTTTATGGCCTGATTATTATTTAGAGTCTCTCCAGCAGTGAACTTGAAGATCATGCAAATGTGCTCTTTGGGAAAGTCACTATATAGCTGAATAATTTGTTTTGTAGGAAGCCAGCTCAAATTTATCATCAACCGTGAAAATTCTTTATCAATGCTTTTCTATAAAGTAGGCCTATTATTATACATTCCACTTTAACTCTGACAGAAAGCTGACCAGAAATGCTATTAACTAATAAATACCTATTTTAGAAAAATTGCTTCATGTTATTACAGTGTATTGTTTTATTAATTCATGTAATATTCCTTCGGTTTCAGTATCTTCTGTGTCATAATCAAAACTAAAATAACTAAAAAAATGTAAACTATATGGCCTGTATTTAAAGTAGAGAGTCATGGGGCAGCTGGGTGGCTCACTTGGTTAAGCCTTTGGCTCAGGTTGTGGACCTGGAGTTCTGGGATTGAGTTCCACATCATGCTCAATAGGGAGTCTGCTTCTCCCTCCGACCCTCCCCTTGTTGTGCTCTCTCTCTCAAAAATAAGTAAAATCTTAAAAAAATAAATAAAGTAGAGAGTCAGTATAAACCTACAACCTAATATGTGTAAATACATATAAATGTAACTGGACAGAAATGACCATGGTCATTCACTATATACAATATTTACAATGCCAAACAGCAATTGTATTTGCCAAGATATTCACAGTTCATCATATTAGGAGATAAAATGTTTAACTATGGACATTTATTAATCAATGCAATATTTATTGAACATACTTTTTAGATTGTAAGATATACTGATAAACAAATGTCACTGTGTACTCATAAGGAGCCTACAACCAAGTGGGAACAAAAATACGTAAGTAATTCATAATTTGTGAGATAGCCTATCAAGATAGGGATTTATTCAGGATACCACTGGCACACCTTATGCCCGGCTCTATTTTTCAGGAAAGGTGTTAAAGATCAAGTGATATTCAAGTAGGACCTAAGTAGGCATGAGGCCCTAGAATAGAGAAGGGTGTGTCAGTCAGTAGAAGACATGTCTACGTGGACCGGAGAAGTACGGTTACAACATAGATTTAAAGTCCTATTAAATCAGGACTTGGAATTTGGCCTTCATCTTGATGTTGAGATATATCACTGAAGGAGAGAGACATAATCACATTTCAGTTTAGAAAGATCATCCTGGTTCAAGTATAAAGAATGTTTTAGAGGGAATAATGGAATTAGACCAGTTCAGATGAGAAACAATACTGTCTTACCCTGTGATAGTGATGGAAGAGAAAGAAAAAATAAATTTATATCTCAACTTATTCTGTTATGACTATTGTTTTTTAATAGACTTTATAGATGTTACTTTTAAGATATTCTGTTGTTATGAGGAGCCATTTATTTATAGATCTCCTTGTATTATTTGTAATATTGTACTCACCTCTTAAGCACAGATTCTCTACACATCTCAAGTTTCCACATTGTTTTATCTATTAAAACGTTTATCTTTATCTTCCAAATGTGACTAAATACTATCCCCAAAGTCCTGTAATATTCCATTCTTGTGTACACACTTACATCTTTGTCCTGAAAGATACATGAAAACAAAGGCTTAGATATTTGAGCTTACTGATTTGAAGAAATGATAACATGAAAGAAGAGGTAAACAGAGGATAAGAAAATGTAAAATATGTATTGTGGAAACAGACACGTTATCTTAAATGTGGCTTGTCTGAGGGAAATATAGATTTTAAGAGGCACGTGTGAAAATGCAAAAAGAGACATGATTATATACAAATTTAAATTATTTTAACTAGTGCCTACTCATAAAAACACCATCATTTGAATCCTATTATGGATTTATGATTTTCCTAAACTGAAATGTGATCATGGTCTCTTTCAGTGATATGTCTCAACATCACGACGAAGGCTATATATGTAGGTACACACATATATGTAAGTATATAAATGTATATATATATAAATTATTATCTCATTGCTCTAACACTATATGTATATAATGGGCTTGTTATTCTAGAAAGCAGTAGAACATAGACATTGTATTCAATTAGAAAAGAGAAAATGAGGTTTGGGTACCGATTTCAGTGCTTAGGCAAGACACATAACCTCTTTGGGCATCAATTTCCTTATCTGTAAAATGACAAAACATACCCTACTATGTATCTCTTGTGTAAATATATGAAGATGAGATAGTAGTTTTGAAAGTGGTTTTGAAAAACATGACCAAGGGGTTCAGTAATGATTCAATGTAGGTAGTGACCTTTTTTGAAGGAGTCAGAAAGGTAGGGGGAACAAAATTCATTCAGAATTAATAGGAAAGGTAATATTTACTGACTGAAATTGAAAGAACCAATTTTCCATGAATACTATATCTATTCCTATGAAACTTCTACAGAATATAGGAATTCATAATGTTAGATATTTTCAAGTTTTATAGTCAAAATAACTTCCTATTTCTTACACATTTCCCATACACATATGCTTCACACATGCTCCCTATTTTTCAGACACGGTCAATGTTTTCACTACATTAACATTGTCATTAGAACTATTTTCTAGGTCTGTCGATAAAATTGGCCTCACACATTGATAACATATTTTTGTAATTACATTGTAATTTTCACTAGTAATCCTAGCTTTTTTGAATATACAATTCATTTCAACTTATTATATCATTGCTTTAACACTTCATACACATCTTGAGACATTTAGGCCACAAAAGATTAGATTTACTATTAAAAGAACCAAATATAAATAATTCACAATTACTTACCCAAACGGAAGACTCAAATAACATGTATAGTCTAAATGTGCAAATAATCAGAATATACAAATTCTCTACCCTCCTGCTACCGAATGTATCCCTGAGTTGCTGTCAGAAGCAGGGTTTACGGTTTTGTGCTGTAATTCCTACTTGTCAAGACACCAATTAAAAACAAAATGATAAAAACTCTGTGAGAGCTAAGAATGATAAACAAAGTGCCACCATAATTTGCAAATTGTAAAATGTGCTTTTGAAAACATACTAGTAGGCTTAGCATGTAATGTGTAACAGCAGTATTGGTTTTCTCTCTTCACTGCTAGGTCAAGACACTGACGAAGTGGAAGCCTGCAAAGCCAGAGAGAGACCTTCAGTTGGGGTCCATGTAAAGAGTGGGGAAGGCTTTCTGGAGCCTGGGGGATACCTCTCCCCACTGACTAACACCCTTTGCTCTGTCACCCTCAGCCTGAGATTTTACCCAAGTCAACATTCACTTAGGTGATTAAGTGCAAGTATTTCCAGGAAGCCTAAGCAAAATATGATAGGCATTTCAACTTTAAGGAAGTCTCCCTCTTAGCTGTGATTAATTAAAAAAAAAAAAAAAAAAGAGGTAAAGTTTTTGGCTTAAAGCAGAAATGAACTTGGAGCACTGGGACATTTTTCAGAGAAGAGAAGCCTGGTAAATTCTAGTAACCAATGGGAAACATAAAACATAGAAGTCAGGGGAGAATGAAAAAGATGATACCAGGGTGTAAAAAAACACAGGAAATGGTAGAGAAGAAAAAAATAATAATAATAACTCTCATCTCTTAAACTTTGCCCAAAGCAGTCCCAATATATTCTATGTAGAGAAAGTACGGGAATGTGCCAATGTGTAAGGAAGATCAGTGCTCCCCCTGTGTGGTGCATGATCTTGCCTGACCCATGGCCTAAATAACTGGGTGAATCCTGAAATCTGCTCCACTGAGGGAAAAAGTTGGAGTGGCACATCACAGATGTGCACATCTTCACAGCCTGGAACCTCGAGGTGGTTCCAGAACACTTTTCTCCTTTACTTCCGCGTTGGCCCAGTTATCCTGTTCTATCAATACTGATAACAGTATATACTCAGAGAATCACATAAAGATGGACTCTCCACCACAAAGGTAAGTCAGAGTAACACAAAAGCACATATGGTTGTCAGAGTGGAACACGTGTCTTTTTCTAGCTGGACATTTGGTCTAACACAAACTTGCAGACTATCAAGGATATAACAATTTTTGAAGGGTCATGTTGGGAAAATAAGATTATACTTTTGGAGAAGAAAATTTAAAAATATACACAGATGCAGCATTTCCCCATCACTGTGCCATAGATAAGCTAGCTCTGAGAGTAACCGGTCAGGGGCTAGAGTAGCCTGAGCCACTGGGCCACTGTCACACCATGGAAAGGATCTCCTTTTATACTAGGTTGTCTTACAAAAATGCCTATTTTCCGGTAGTGGCATAGTACCAAGAAAAGATGTGTTTGTTGTTGTTGTTCCCCATTCCCACACTGTTTTTTTAAGAACAGGTGAGAAAACACTGTTTACTTAAATTATAGCCCATCCATAGTACACCATGGAATATAAATAAGGAAGAAAACATGCTTGAGGGAGCCCTCTGTGTAAGGATATAGAAAGCATGCCAAGATGTAATTTTAGATGACTAAAATAAATGTGCAAACCATGCAGCTATGTCTGTATAATAAGAACATAAAAACACCAAAACTAATTTATTAAATTAAAAACACACAGAACTGTACACACTATAGGATTTTTCTGAAGTTGAAGGGTAACACATCTGAAAAGTTAACACCTTCCAGAAAGTCTTTCAGTAAATCCTGAAAATTCCTATCCTCAAGTCCCCTGCCTTTGAGAGTGCTGCTTCTTTCTAACTTCTGCCTTAGAATCTCCAACCACCATTAGGACAATCTCCTCCTTCCTAGCAAGGCTAGACTTACCCTGACACAAGTCCCTTATGTCTTCAGGATGTAACACTAGGTCTGCATTATCATCTACAACAAGACCCTCCAGTGGCAGTTGTGGTACAGGTTTCCAAGTGGTCATTCTGCCATTATATTTGGTCCTTCATATACCTCCAAATGATATTAATTGTGGGGCAATGGGTTTGACACTCTTAATTTCAAGGAAGCATGTAAGTTAGGCATTAAAGGCAATTAAAACATGGTTCTTTTTGATTATAAGGGTAAGTTATAGACCTTTAGCTTTTATTTATCGGTAACCATTGAATAAGATGTTCATGCATATATATATGTATATATATATGCATACACACACACACACACACACACACACACACACACACACCCCTATATGTCCCAAAGATTAATACTGATCCTTATCCTGAAGTCTCCAAACTGCTTACTGAAGTCAGGCAGATGAGATGAGAAGGGATTAGAAGATATCAGAAAACAGATGAGAAGAGATGAGAAGGGGAGGGGAGAGAGAGGAGAGAAGAAAGTGGAAAGAGAGAGAAAAGGGAGGAGAAAGAAAAACACAGCTCCCAGTGGAACAAGCCATGTGTAAGCAGGCCATGCCGTGAGAATGAAATGGGCACTAAAACTCTAACAAGAAATAACTCTTCAGCTTCACTCCCTGCTGCCATGTGGGAATGAGGACCAGGTTTCCAGAGCTTCCAGTTCTTCCACAAAAGCCAGGAATCCTCATGAGCAATTTCTTACATGTTGACTCAAAATAGCTAAGACTTGTGCCGACCAAACATCAAATTTCTGTGAGGAGGATTTAGTCAATGAGCAATGAGTGTGACCCTTGGTCTAAACAAGTAAGAAGGTAAGGAAATACTTGCCTAATTGCTCAATCATTGGCTGTTATCTCTGAATACCTGACTTAGTACGTACTTTCTAGATTCTACAGCATTGCTTCCCCTTCTTCAACTAGCTACTTTCAGATCATGTTACCTCCCCCTACACACACACACACACACACACACACACACACACACACCCCAAAACACAAATTGAGACTGAGAAAGGAGTCTACTGCTGAGCCATGCACATGTCTCTTAAAGCTACACTATTCCAGTTACAAAAAACCCTGAAGGAAACTTCTTCTACCTGACCTGATCAAACTTTTTATCTTAATCAAGACTGATTTCCCTGCCAGGCTCACTGAGGAAGCAGAAGGAGGATTCCTCGGTTATTTAAGTGGGTCCTAAAACTATTCTCTCTTCTACCTACCCTTTCCATATGAGTTCAAGCTCTCATTACTTCTCATCTGGTCTACTCTTCAATTTACATGAAGTTTATCACCACCCTGTAACTCAAAATTTCCACTGTTGACTATAGCCTTGCTTATGCCTTAGACACCACCATGGACATGCCAGAGTCACTCTCTGCATTGCCTTGGACTTTCTTATGGTTATCAACTGTGCCCATAGGCTCTCAGGCATGCTCTGTCCACCCCTTATACTCATCCCCAGACTTAAATCCCCCTTAACATTGATCCTTGAAATTGGTGTTTCAATAAAGATCCATTCAACCACAGTCAGGATTATTTAAGTTGAAAATAATGTGACTGTGACAATGACAATTTAGTGAAAAGCGTTAAAATCAGAGACTTGATGAAAGACAGAAGATAAAATTTTTAAAATGTGACTTTGATTACTCAACATTCTTTAAGACAAATTTCTTTATTTTTTTGTTCTCATTCACATAGGACTGATGTTATACCTATCTAAGAACACAGTTGTAAAGATTACAACCTTAGAAGGAGGAATATATGTATGTATTCTTTAATATTTATAGGAGTTATCTTCTGAAACCTTTGAATACCACCAATATTGAGGATAAAGAAATGTTTTGACAGGCTCTTGGATTTCTCTTGTATTTCTATCAAGAATTTTGTTTCCACTGCATGTCCTCACACCACAAGTTAACTGCCTTTTCAACATTCTTTACAGTCTTCTGCATGACGAAAGATACCATAAAGGAAACTAAGGAGAAGTAAATTAAAAAGAAAATGACAAAACATTGAATAAGGTTAAATAGATAAAGACAAATAGCAAAGTCACTGAAAAACCTATACAATGGGACATAAAATAATGAAAAACCCTTATGAGAACATAGGCAACCAATTAATAATCAGGACTGTACCATAAAACAACAATGGGACTTTAAAAATCATCAGTCAAATATCTTTCAGATAATTTTAAGTGCATAAGGGTATAAAGAAATAGGCATTCCTAAACTGGGGATGAAAATGAAAATTGGTACAACTTCTTTGGAAGGAAAATTAATTAATTACGGAAATTTGATACAAGATTCCATTTGCCAGCATGTACACCAGAGAAAAGTGTGTTATATCTTTAAATAGGCAAACACTGAGTGCTCTATGTGGCTGCCTGTAAGAGGATAGTGAATAAATTTTAGTCAGATACACTATGGAATATCACATAGCATTTAGAAAAAAAGGGCAGACATTGATACGGAGTGATAATTTTAAAAATCCAGATGCAAAAACTATTGGTGATTTGCTGCCATTTTTGTCACCAATAGTTAGTGGAAGAAAAAAGACTTAGGGTCAACTTAGAAACTATGAACTGTTCTCTAAATATCAATCTTAAAGCTTTGGGAATATTTATTGATTTTTATAATTTACAAGTAATGGGCACTGGATGCTAGATCATCTGATGACATTAGTTCATCAAATTCTCAAACAGTTCATGACTCAGAGAAGATGAATAATGTTTTTAGAGTTAACAATAAAAAGGGAGTACTGCATCTATCATATACATTTTGATTTTAGGATTTAAATTCCTTTTCTCCTTCTCACAGTCATCACCAAGGCCTTTGATTCAAAATAAATTGAGAGTATTAATAATATTTACCATATAGGACAGTTATAGGAGTTTCTTAAGGTAATGTATATAAGTACCCAACAGATAATGTGAACCACAAGGCTGGTCTGTGGAAGAGTCTCATTATTTTGGTGAGTCATGCTAGGATCCCACTGACTCAGCATCTATCTCTAAAATAATGGTATTTATGAATTCAAGACATATCTTTCATGAATAGCAAAGAGTTGCTCTACAACAGAAATAAAGATAGCACACTTTTGTTCCCACTGAACACCAAGCCAACTCTTTCCTTTCATACCTTATTTAAAATGGAAACATTGAAAGTCATAAAGCTGAGATGGCTGGTGGTTCTAAGGATTACTTAGAAAATGGATTATCAGAGGTTGATAAGACACTGACTGGAGACACTAAGACAACAGTAATAAACTAAGACATAATGGTCTTGGTAAGTAAGCTATCTGTGATTCAGAAATGATAATCAAAAGTGCAGTTGTCAGTTACTATTATGGCAACTAAGTGATTTCCTCCAGGTCAGGTTCTATTTCTGATGGAGCATCATATATTATAAATGAAAAAATAATAACTAAACTTCCCTTCCCCTAACTTCCAGTTCCTTTCAAGGAAAAACAACAGTTTTATTTCTACATTGCTAAAATGAAGTCTCATTAAATACATCTGGTCTCTAGAACTTTCTGATGTGGTACTGTACAAAGCAGTTAGGTTTCTACTATAAGAATGAAGGAAATCAGTG